AAACAAAAAAGTCCTTCTCTTTTGCTTGCTTTATTATTATGCGGCAGTATAATTCTGCCATTACATAACCAGTACTTGAAGTTCTGTAAAATCATCACAGTTCATTCATTATTATTGCACTTGTCTAATTATTTACCTGGAACTCTTTGGTTCATAGTTCAGGCACTGAAGCAAATATGTCAGAATAATACATTTGCCTCTGAAGAATTTACCGAATATGACTAACAACGAGACACACGTTATCATTTAGTCTTATAGGTCACTGAGATATCTTACTTCACTAAGATATCATACTAATAAATGAAGGTTTATTAGTCCACAGAGAAAGAAACAAATCTAAATATACAGCACAGCAGTCAACATTTTAAGTGGGTCAAAATAGTGTTATTGATGGATAAATGATTGAATGTTTGAATATTAACAGTGTATGTTGTTGTAAAAAAAAAATACATTTATTAAGGGTTTTGATCCACTTCAAATTTTTACTATGGTGTTTATGTGTGTGCGCTTTGTAAAAATTGCTGAGTTGCACACATTTATTTTTATTTATTTTTTTTGGGATAACATAAAGAATTTAAATTAACTTATTAGTTTTGCAAATTTAAGTAAGTTGAACATAAAAAAACAAGTTCTCCCCCTAAAAAACACAAAAAAAATAAAAATAAATCCAAGAAAAATGTATTTTGTCAGAATTTTGTCAAAATACCTACAACTTTAATTATGTGTTGTAATTAGATTTAGATATATAGCAAATAGATAACATTATTTAATATGTATATGTTTCCACCTCACCTGATTTAATCCAACATCTTATGTCCAGTTTTTAGGTTCACAAAGAAAATATGAAGCACTGACGCCTTTCAGTTCTCGTAAACCTTTGATCAAACTCTTATCTTCATTCCAAAACAGCATTTTTATTTAAGCCTTACGCAGCTAAAATAAATATTTCAGTCGGCGCCAATAGCCTAGTGGTTAAGGGAAAGTCCAACATATAGCACCATGGTGCTCACGACAACCCTAGTTCGATTCCCCTCAAGGTTCTTTACCTACCCTTTCCCCCTCTCTGCTCCCAATAATTTCCAGATGGTAACTTTCACTATCCTATCCAAATTAAAGGTCAAAAGACCACTAAAAATATTATTAATAATAAAGAAAATAAATATGTCTTCATTGCGTCATCACCAAGGAAAGTAAATAAAAGGATCACTCTAATGCACAGATTGCACTGTTATTTCTCTACAAAATTCCCTGCTGAAAAGTCCGGCTTAAACCAACCTGGGATGGTTGGCTGGTTTCAGTTGGTCAGGCTGGGAGATGACCAGCTAAAACCAGCTTGACCAGCTTAAACCAAACTGGTCAAGTTGGTTTTAGCTTGTTTTAGCTGGTCATTTTCCAGCCTGACTAGCTAAAACCAGGCTGGAAATGGCTGGAAACCAGCCTGGAAATGGCCAAAACCCCTCTAAAACCAGGCTGGTCGACCAGCTAAAACCAGCCAACCATCCTAGGCTGGTTTAAGCTGTTTTTTTCAGCACGGTTTAGTTATTCTTATTCCTCTAATTGCAGAAAATATTTTGGCAAATCTGAAAGCAAGATGCAGTTTGATCGGAAAACAAATTAAAAAAGATCAAAATTTAATTTGTTAATTTAAACTGATACAGAATGAAACTCTTCCATTGCTTGTCGACTTTTTATAAAATCAATTTTTCCATTAAATAAATCCAATTTCACCTCATTTTGATTATGTTCTAAACAAATTCAAAACAGTGAATCATAGTTGAGTAAATTTGGGTGTGGAGCTGTAGATCCCAATTGGACAATTCTGGCTAATTTATTTAAAATGAGCTTTGATTGCTTTTGCTGTTAAGCCGTGCGTCTCAGAACATTGTTCAGTGGTGGATAGAGGGAAGAGTTCTATATACAGGAAATGCATAGGGTAGATAAAATCTCAAATGGCTGCTTGCTCGGTGAAATTGAAGGACAGCAGTTGCTCTGGCTACTTTTATTCACTTATCTGTACAGGTGTGTGTGTGTGTGTGTGTGTGTGTGTGTGTGTGTGTGTGTGTGTGTGTGTGTGTGTGTGTGTGTGTGTGTGTGTGTGTGTGTGTGTGTGTGTGTGTGTGTGTGTGTGTGTGTGTGTGTGTGTGTGTGTGTGTTTTTGGTCTTCTGGTTATTGAAGAGTGCTTCTAGATTTTCTGGATCATTCAGCAGATGCCTGAGTGTTAATGCATGTCATTAACACTTGTTTGTGTCTCCTTCTGTTTCCTTGAGTCTTTAAATGAATCCTCTGCTGATGTTTTATTATTAGGGGTTTTAAGCCTTCCTGTAGCTCAATTAGTAGCGTGTGTTAGTCATGTGTGTTTGGGTTGCTTAATTGATAATGTGTGTTTGATGCTAAGGTTAAATAAGGTTTTGAAGGTGCTGTTTGTAAGTTTTAAAATGCACAAAAAACACATACAATACAAATATTACAAACGTAAACATTAGCTGATCAGCTTGCAGC